CCATGTGGGAATATAGGCCTATATTTCCAGAGCTCTGATTTTCTCAAAAGAAACTGGAAATCTTGGGGGGGGGGTTAATTTTAATTTATTTTATTTTGAGAGAGAGAGTGCGAACAAGCAGAGGAGAGGGGCAGAGGGGGAGAGAGAGAGAGAATCTTAAGCGAGCCCCAACATGGGGCTTGATCCCTCAATCCCATGACCCTAGGACCACAATCTGAGCTGAAGTCAAGAGTCAGATGCTTAACTGACAGAGCTACCCAGGCACCTCCATATAATGGAACATTTTAAAAATTATCTTTATTAGAGCCCAAATGTCTGTCAACTGATGAATGGATAAAGAAGATGTTTATATATACTTGGTAATGAGAAAGAATGAAATCTTGCCATTTGCAACAATGTGGATGGGACTGCAGGGCATTATGCTAAGTGAAATAAGTCAGTCAGAGAAAGACAGATATATGTTTTCACTCCTATGTGGAATTTGAGAAACTTAACAAAAGATCATGGGGGAAGGGAAGGGGAAAAAGGTAGTTTCAAACAGAGAGGGAGGCAAACCATAAGAGACTCTTTTTTTTTTTTATAATGTCTATTTATTTTTGAGAGGGAGAGAGAGAGACAAGAGTGTGAGCTGGGGAAGGGCAGAGAGAGGGAGAGACAGAATGCGAAGCAGGCTCCAGGCTCTGAGCTGTCAGCACAGAGCTGGATGCGGGGCTCGAACTCACAAGCTCTGAGATCATGACCTGAGCCAAAGTTGGATGCTCAACCAACTGAGCCACCCAGGCACCCCAACCATAGGGGACTCCTAAATACAGAGAACAAACTGAGGGTTGATGATGGGAAGGGGAAAATGGGTGATGGGCATTGAGGAGGACACTTGTTGTGATGAGCACTGGGTGTTATATGTAAGCAATGAATCATGGGAATCTACTCCTGAAGCCAAGAACACACTGTATACACCGTATGTTAGCTAACTTGACAATAAATTATACTTAGAAAAAAACAATAAAAAAATAAAGGAAAAATTATCTTTATTGAGGTATAATTTACATATAATAAAGTGTGCCCATTTTAAGTGTGTAGTTTGACATGTTTTGACTGATGCATACACCTATGCAGCCACTACTACAATTAAGGTGTAAAATGTTCCATCACCCTCATTTTCCTTGGACCCCTCTGTAGTCAGTCCTCCTCCTACCCTTGGCTCCAGGTAACCACTGGTGTAAAACTAATATAGATTAGTTTTTCATTTTGTAGAGTTTCTTATAATGGCAATCATGTACTCTGTCGTCAGGCTTCTTTCATTCAGCATAATGTTTTTGAGATTTATCCATGTTGTGTTCGTTAGTGGACTTATAGCTCATTACTTTTTATAGGTGAACAGTATTATTATGGAACTTGCAGACATGTGCAAAAGTGGAGAGAACATATAATGAATCTGCATATGTTCATTCACCAGCTTCTGCAATTAGCAATATTCTGACATTCTGTTTCATCTTTACCTGTCCTGTAAACCCATACCTATTTTGACCAAGGTGAGGGGCTGGGTATTTTTAAAGCAAGTTGCACACATTGTATTATTTCACTCATAAATATTTCAATATGTATCATTGAGATTTAAAAACTTTAAAAATAAGTAGAGTACCCTTATTATATTTTTTAAGAAGCCAGTAATTTCCTAATATCATCTAATCCTCGGTCCATGTTCCGTCTTTCTAGTGTCTTAATATGTCTTTTAACAGTTGGTTTATTCAAATCAGGATCCAAATAAGGTCAAGTACACATTGCTTCTGGTTGATACATTTCTCAGGGCCCTTTATTTTTTTTTTTTTTTTCCTAATGTTTATTTATTTTTTTTTTTTTAATTTTTTTTTTCCAACGTTTTTTATTTATTTTTGGGACAGAGAGAGACAGAGCATGAACGGGGGAGGGGCAGAGAGAGAGGGAGACACAGAATCGGAAACAGGCTCCAGGCTCTGAGCCATCAGCCCAGAGCCTGACGCGGGGCTTGAACTCACGGACCGCGAGATCGTGACCTGGCTGAAGTCGGACGCTTAACCGACTGCGCCACCCAGGCGCCCCTGTTTATTTATTTTTGAGACAGAACATGAGCGGGGGTGGGGGCAGGAGAGGGGAGGCAGAGAGAGAGGGGTACAGAGGATCCAAAGCAGGCTCCAGACTCTGCACTGAAAGCAGAGAGCCCGATGTGGGGCTTGAACTCACGAACTGTGACATCATGACCTGTGCCAAAGTCGGACACTCAACCGACTGAGCCAGCCAGATGCCCTCTCAGGGCCCTTTAAATCTGTAATAGTTCTTTTCCCCCAGCCTGTTTTTTCTCCCCATGCTACTTATATTTTAAGGAAACTGGCTCACTGTACTGTAGAATTTTCAAGTTTTGGATTTGGCCAGTTCTATTTGCACAAGTTGTTGAATGCAGTCTCTATGCCCCTTTTCTGCCCTTTAATTAGTAGATCTGGAGGCTTGATCAGATTCCTCTACCTTGAATTTATTTCTCTTTCTCTCATGCACAGCTGTTGTCATAGAGGAGGCCCATTCTTTCATTTTACCTTGATCCACTGTAGTCATCTAACGGGCCACTTTTCCTCCAGTCTTACCTGCTCTCTCCATGTAGATTCTAGGCTGTTTTCAGAGTAGTATTTTTAAACTAAAGATTCACTGTGTTAATCCTCCACTTAAAAACTTTCATTGATTCCTTATATCCTCTAGGGATATAAGCCTAAGTTTCTGTGCTCAGCATACATAAGGCCTGGTCCCTTGCTTACTTTTTTGGCTAGAACTACAGCCATATGCACTTTTTTTTTTTTAACCCTATTTATTCATTTATTCAAAAGACATTTCAAGAATGCCTACTTTTTACTAAGCATGGGACATTAATCCCCCCCAAAACTTCTGATTACATTATCCACCCTGCAGCCCATCCAGGCAATCTTTGGGGAAGCTGGATATACCCTGCAGCATAGCACTTCATCTGAGTCTAGAATTGGGAAGAGGAACCAGAAACTCAGTAGGTCTACCTGTGGGAGCATGAAGTTGAAGATAGTAGTATTGGGAGGTCGGACAAAGGTAGGGGCAGCCTGAACTTTCACTGAGCAGGTAGCAGGTCAGGCTTGGGGACAGGTGGAACCAAGTGAACCTGAATAGGTAAGTGAACTCGGGGGGTACCATATTCTCAGCAAACGTCTGTTTATTCAGTGAGTCCTACTTGTGGGATATACTGGGAACCTCTTCAACTAAATCAGTGTTATGAAGGCCATTCTTTTTACCTTACAAGTTATCCCTTTTGCCAGAACACGTCACTCAGTAGATCAAAACATAACTTCAGTAGGTGTCTTGCTACCTACTCTTTTCTGTTGTGTTTTCAGCTGTACTGGTAGTTATTTTTTAAATGTGCTTTGTTTTGTAGACCATTGTGATGAACGACTGTATTATCCGAGGGGATCTGGCAAATGTGAGAGTTGGACGTCATTGCGTTGTGAAAAGCCGGAGTGTCATAAGGCCACCTTTCAAGAAATTCAGCAAAGGGTATGCAATTTAATTACCTTGTTTGGGTCTTGAGCAAGAATCTGCTACTGGTGGTGTGTTCGTGTGTTGAGGTGTGGTGTGAGGAGCAGGGCTGTGCTATTGTTTGGGACATGAAAGAAGACTTCACTCTGATGAACACAACTCTGGTGGTGGTGGTCTTAGTTTAGTTGTTGGTTGGTTCCCAGAAACAGAATCCACTTAACCTAGAAAAAAGAAGCAAAGGGGATTCTGGCAAAAGAGACAGGGGCATATTTAATGGAATCTCAGGGTAGGAGAAGGTGCCAGGCCTCACAAGGGACTAGAGCCTGTGCCTGGACAGCTAGACAGAATCACAATGACTGGTCTGTCACTCTCTTACTGAGATTATACTGTTTCTTACTTGTCCTTGTCTCTGTGTTTCTGCTTCCCTCCCCTCTCTTGTACATTGGCTTTGTCTTCCCCCATTTCTCATGAAGCCAACCTTGCTGCCTCAGCCCCTAACTTACATCTATTCTCCATTTAAGCTTCAGTGGATACCGACCAAGGATTTTAGGTCTTATTTCCAGAATCTTGGGAGAGGAAATCTGATTGGCTCAGCTTGAGTTGAGTGCTCCACCCCTGTCTTAACAGTTGTGACCCGGAGGGCAGGGTCAGGTCAGGCCCACTGTGGGCCCAAGAATAAGGATTGCCCAAGAAAGGACATGGACAGGGCAGGAAAACTGTCCACTATGCCTAATGTGCTGGTTTTGGGCTTTGGTTTATTTTTTGTTTTTTGTTTTTGCCTCTCCCTCTTTTCCCTCCTGGCTTCTACCTGTGGCACCGCCTGCGTGTCATTGAGTAAGTCAGCAAGCATTTACTGAGTGCTTTTTTTATGTCAGTCATTAGGATACAAGCTGGGTATGTAAAGATGGGTGAAATTGCGTTCCTGCCTCAAAGTTCTCAAAACCTAGTGGGAGAAACAATTACATAAATAGATGGCTACTATAAAATATGATAGTGTAATGTGATAGACACTGCATAATGTCACGCTCCTGTCATAGGGCTATGTACATGGTTAGGGAGGAACAGAGAACAGAGCAACCAACTGAGACTGTAATACCTAGGAACATGCAGAAATGATCCTGCATTCCGCAGAATGAGGTCAGACTCCAGACTTTCCATTACATACAGGAATTAGAGCAGGGAGTCTGTAAGTCATTCACATGAAAACATTTGCTCATTAGCTCAGAAGGCAATTGGGGGAAAACTAGAAAACCTCTTGGTAGCCTTTTGTGGTTCCATACTGTGACAGGTACTCTGTTGGAGTTGTTGACTTTCCCTTCTGATAATGGCATTACTGGGCTGGATATGGTCCCAGGAAAGCACCGAGAATAAATAATAAACATGGGGTTTATTGGTGAATTGGAAGGATATATAAATGAGAATAGTCCACATGAGAAATACATAAGTACAGAAGTGTAACTAGCAACACATGAATAGTAAGTGAGTTTGGGGGCGCCTGGATGGCTCAGTCAGTTGGGCTTCCAACTCTTGATTTCGGCTCAGGTCATGATCTCACAATTCATGAGATCAAGCCTCATGTCAGGCTCTGTGCTGAGCATGGAACCTGCTTGGGATTCTCTCTCTCCTCTCTCTGCCCCTCCCCTGCTTGTTGTGTGTTCTCTCTCTCTCTCTCTCTCAAAATAAAAAACATGAAAAAAAGAGAGAGTGTGTGTGGATTCTCCCCACTCCCATCCCACATCTCAATACCAGAACTAGATAATAGAAAATAGAACCAGATAAGAATATCAGGTTTGGAATTTTAATTAATTAATTAATTAATTATTAAGTTTATATATTTTGAGAGAGAGAAAAAACATGAGTGGGAGTGGGGCAGAGAGAGAGGGAGAGAATCCCAAGCAGGCTCTGCACTGTCAGTGCAGAGCCCGACACAGGGCTCAAACTCACAAACCCTGAGATCATGACCTGAGCTGAGATCAAGAGTTGGGCACTTAACTGACTGAGCCACCCAGGCGTTCCTGGAATTTTTAATTTAAAATTAAATGACAGTTCTGCTGTAGACTGTGATGAGATCAAGGAATTCATGGTCACACAAGGGGTGCAGATCAAAAATACAAATGGAGGGGCGCCTGGGTGGCGCAGTCGGTTAAGTGTCCGACTTCAGCCAGGTCACGATCTCGCGCTCCGTGAGTTCGAGCCCCGCGTCGGGCTCTGGGCTGATGGCTCAGAGCCTGGAGCCTGTTTCCGATTCTGTGTCTCCCTCTCTCTCTGCCCCTCCCCCGTTCATGCTCTGTCTCTCTCTGTCCCCAAAATAAATAAATGTTGAAAAAAAAAAATTAAAAAAAAAATACGAATGGATTAAGGAAGATTTAAATAAATTATACGTCCTCAGAGGACAGATACTGTCTCCAATAAAATATTCCTGACAAAATAGAACACAGGACTAGAAAGAGCCAGTGAGCATCCAACTACTTTATTTTAGTTCCAGTCCAAATATTTTATATCCCAATGTATTGAAGTTACCTGTAAATGCGATCCTAGAACGACTGTCCATGACATTTGAGGAATCCTAGAGAATGGGAATGATGTCAGAAGTCTGGAGAAAGCCTCCTGACTCCTACTCATCCTTCAAGTCTTGGCTTACGTATCACTTTCAGTTAAACTTACCAAACTGCCAATTTAGGTAGTTATATACTCTCATTGTATACTCTCATATCTTGGTGCTTTTCGTCTGTAGCACTAATCACAGTTGTAATTAATTACTTAATCATTTAATCTCTCTTCTCTTGATTGCAAGCTCCTCGTGGGCAGGGTTATGTACCTTTTGCTTGCTATTATATCTCCAGTTCCCTAGCGTAGAGTCTGGCATATAGTAGGCATTCAGGAAGATCAGTGAATATACAAATGTTTGGAATGCTGAATGCTAGAAAATACATCCTCAAAACCTGATGTCAGTTCCTTGAAGCCCTGTAGAGCAGATTACTGAAAATGTGACCTATGAGCATTTTCAAGGAGGCAGGAATGAGCAAAACATTCATTCATTTGGTGCCAGCTCTTTTAGCTTGGAAGGCCTTGCTCCTTCTGCCTTGCTGTTTCTTTGCACACTGCCTGGTCTAATATTTCTGATTTTGAGCTAGTAATCACATTCATCTTCAACATTATAGAATTCCCCTAGCCTGAGAGTTCTTTCCTTACTAGGAGCAGTCTTATTAAGACGCGACGATAGGGGCGCCTGGGTGGCGCAGTCGGTTAAGCGTCCGACTTCAGCCAGGTCACGATCTCACGGTCCGTGAGTTCGAGCCCCGCGTCGGGCTCTGGGCTGATGGCTCAGAGCCTGGAGCCTGTTTCCGATTCTGTGTCTCCCTCTCTCTCTGCCCCTCACCCGTTCATGCTCTGTCTCTCTCTGTCCCAAAAATAAATAAACGTTGAAAAAAAAAAAAAAAAA